CTGCGGACCTTGAATTGTTGACACACAGTATTAGCAAAGCACAGTAAAATGAAATAATGTGAGCTTTCTAGTGTGTTAAAACACAGTGCCACTAACCTGGTGGCTTAAACTACAGAAATGGATTCTCTCAGAGTTGTGGAGGCTGGGGGTCTGGGTTCAGGATGTCATAAGGACCATGCTGTCCCTGAAGGTTCTAGAAGAGTGTCCCCTGTGTTTTCCAGCTTCCGGTGGCCCCAGGTGGTGGACTGTGGCAGCATGACTCCTTTCTGTCTCTATAGGACCACCTTTCTCCTCCTGTGTCTGGTATCTTTTCTTAAAGGGACAGTAGTTGGATTAGGCTGTGCCTTCCATCAGTATGGTCCCCTCTTAACCAGTGCTGTCTGCTGAGAACCAGTTTCCAAGTAAAGTGCTATGTTCTCTAGCACGTGAGCTAAGACTGCCTATTTGAGGGGAAGGGGCCCAGATCAGCCTTGATAGGAGTTAGCTAAAACTGTGTCACGAAGCGGCTCCTGGTGGCTTCACAGACTCGTGCAGACACTCAAAGGTGCTTTAACCCACAGTCCGGGATTCACATGTCTGTACTCAGCATGCGCTCATACACACTCGAGCACACATTCACATTTCCACATGCATGCGTCAGCACACACACAGATGCACACTCATGCTCAAACACATACCACGCATATACATTCACACGCATCCTCACATTCTTGTTCACACTCACAGGCACACAAGTGTTCACATACACACCTCAACACATACTCACACATGGAACCTGGGTTCACACTCACACGTGTGCACTCATCCATATTCACACACAATGCACATCCACACTCAGAGACACTCACATAGTTACACACTCACGCACACACCTTACTCCAGTGTCTGTGAAAACACGATTTGCACCTTCCAAGTATCTTCCCAAAGCGTGAACTTGATCTAGTGCTTGTCCTTGGCCTCCCATTGACCCCCAATTGCCTGAAGGCCATATATTCCACTTGCCACTCCTCCTAACATTCCAGATCCTTCCCAGTGTCTTTTCCAGGTGTGTGCACACTTCGTCCCGCCCTGTCTTCTCACGACCTCCTCCAGGTCCTTCCCTGTGGATCTTCCTGTAAGCACCCGTGGAGTGTCAGGCCCTCGCTGGTCGTAAAGGAAGCTCAGAATCTCTTGCTGTCTGAGCATTTCAATGACCTGTGGACTGAGCGCTGTCTGTGGACTGACTGTCTCAGATAGTCAGCTGGCCATTGGCAGCCCTGTGGCGACGAGGGGTCTTGTGGCTCATTAAATCACGTGCTGCAGTCAGAGATATCAGACTTTCCAGATTCACTTAGCCTGCCCCTCCCCACCTTCCCACCACTCTGTGCCCGGATCAGGTCCATGGAGAGGTCCCAGCCCCAGCCACCAGCCACACACCTCACACCCTGCTCCAATGTGCGCAACCTGTTTGTGGTGCAAATTCCCCTCTTACGGTTGGTCTCCCTCACCTCCCTTTCCGCCCCTCCCTTTCTCGGTTTGGTTTAGTCGGCTGAAAGCCCACATCCAGGATGTCAGCCCTAAGGGAAGGCGCTGTATGTCTGTGAGTGTTGGCTCCAGGAGGCCCACTGGACAGGAACCTGGGTCCAGTGGACGCTCTCCCCCTCCTGACACTTCGTTCTGGACACCAAGCTTCCCCTCTCTGCTTGCTTATTTCCTCTCTTCTAAAACAAAAGGTGGTGCAGGCACACCCCCAATACACTCCCCTCACATCAGGTCAGGACTGGGAAGGGACTGATGTTACATCCCACCCTTAACCTTCCAGCTGTTTGATGGATCACAGCTGCCACATTATGTCAGGACATTTTCCTATTTTGACAGTATCTGTTATAAAAAAAGTGTGGTTTTATTAGCTTGTTGGCAAGGATGGTGAAACTGGTCTCACGTCCTTTGCATGTGTTGCTAGGGGGGGCCAGTCCTTGGAGGGTCAGAGGCAGAGGACCACCCTCCACGAGCTGGACTGACACCGTGACTTGCAGTGGGCGTGAGCAGGACAGACTGTGCGGATGACGCGGCACCGGGCAGGGCTCACGAGTGCTGCTCGTTGGGTCGCTGGCGGCATGGTTGACGCAGGTACCAAAAGTCCACCGTTTCTGACCGCGTGCACCCAGCATCCACTTTCTGCACTTGCTGGGCTAGAACCTCGGTCAAGTGAACAGAAGGTGTGACCCGTAGTTTGTGTCATCCTATTACATAGGTGGATCTCTGGAGACGAAATGTGCCCACTTGACTGTGTGACATGGACTCTCACTACATGTTAGAAAGGAGTGAAATGTGAATGGTCCACTGTTAGGTGCCGTTGAGCCGATTATGATTTATAGCGACCCTCTGAACAACAGATCTAAACTTTGCCATAGACCACCCCACCCCCATAAAGTGACCTTGAGGTGCCCTTCAAACCTGGGGTCAGCCTTCAGCTAAACGAAGAGCAGGACTAATTTGAATGACAACTGGGGGAAGGAATGCTCACCTCTGCACAGCCAGCTCTGTGAGACCCAAAGGGGCTTCAGGCGAGGTAGGAGGGGTGAGGAAGGAAGCAAGGAAATAGGGGATAGGCATAAAGGACCAGGGAGTAAGGACACACCAAGGGAACTAGCCGGTGCCTTAAAGCTGCATGTGCATAAATTACTGAATGGGAAACGTAGATTTTCTATCCACTTTTACCCAAGTAAGTACAAAACAAAAACTTCCTCAGCATGGGGCCCCTCCTTCCAGCCCCCACGCATGAAGGTGGTGCATTCAGTTGCATTTGGAGTTGGAGAAAATGAGAATTTTAATAATGTAGCGGATTTGTCTCGGAACGCTTCTCAACTCCCTCTGTAGCTTGGAAAAGGGATTTATATAAAAGGTGTCTAAAGCCCTCCCAGCTTCCCAGACCCGTTTCCCTCTGTCATAAATGTTTCCTGTGCATTTAAAGATTAAAATCGGCATGCTTACCCAGCTGAGTGCTGACTCCGGGGCTGAGGGGAAAATGAACACTCCGTTTGGCTGATAATCAGAAATGCTTTTTCCTATCGCCTTTCTCCCCTCCCCCCAAAAGAAGTAAATTGACAATCACTTAAACCGTTACGATTTTAAGTTAATTTGTTTGGGATCTGGAATTGCAGCACATACAGAGGATAACTGTTTTCCAGTTGCTAGACTCTGATCTGGAATTTTATTTTTGCATTCACACAATGATTTTGAAAATACTCTATTAGATGTCTTCAAAGCCCCCCCCCCAATCGATACGCCAATGGTTTTGAAATGACAGAGTACTGCGATATTCCTCTGTAATTTAAACATGATTAGCTGATGAAGGTTATGATCAATACGAGACGGGAAGATAAATTAATTGATATCATCCTTTCAGGATGATAAGAGGCCCATTGGAGGTGGGTCATAACTAATGAAGCCGCCGCTTCGTCTCCGTGAGCCATTTTTTACATGTTGCCTTTTCACTTCATCATATTTAGGTCTTCGTTCATTTACATGAAAACCGTGAGCTGTGGACAGAGCGGGTCCTCGTTAAAAGCGTATCTGTTTGGGGAAGAAATGATTTGTTAACACTTCTTGTGCCCAGCTGGGTCGTCACCTCTTGGTGGAAGGATGGGGCCGAGATAAGGATCGAAGGTTCTGGAACTTAATTCCCCTGGTCCCCTAGAACGCACATCTATCCGGATAAAGAGTGGCCTTGCCCGCCTGCAGTGACACCTATTGGTGGAAAGCCTTTCTCATCTCTGCTTCCTTTGCAATTAAATCTGATACACCGTTATCAGCCCGCCGATTGGCCACGAGGACTTACGGCTGAGTGCGCTTAGATTTGTATTGATTCAGATAAACTCCCAGTGTGAGTACTCATATTTTTAAATGATAATAAAAAAAGACCTTTGCTAGTTACATGCCCTTGAATATGATTCTGTGTACAATCTTATGAAGTGAAGAACTATTCTTTAGAATTTACAAAAGAAAGAAAAGCTTATTTGAGATGGGATTGGTTAACTTACTATTTGGGTTAATTTTTGCTGCCAGTAACTGGGGGGAGATCATCAGATTAGAATAACTTGAGAGATAGATGGGTGTCTCTGCTTTGCATTGTGGGGGCCTGTCTGGCCGGTGCGGGGCTGCTGAGCTTGGCCGTGAACCTGGGGGCTGCCTCTCCTGTCTCCTGCGTCCCTGTGTATGGCTTCAGATCCCAGGTCACCCTGAGGCTCTCAGGAGGCTGCTGGGTCCAAGATGGTGACATTCAGGCACCATGGGCGGCAGGAACCCAAAGTTGTTGTTGTTGTTGTTGTTGTTGTTAGGTCCCATCGAGGTGAATATGCCTCAGAGTGACCTGAATCCTGTCCTGCACAGTGCTGTCACCACCGTTTCTGGCCCATGTGAGCCCTTTGCTGCAGTCACTGTCATTTTCAAAAGAGAAAGGTGGATATAGAGGCCAGCTCTCCTCAGGCAGAGCCCTGGACGCTGCCACGGGATCCCATCTCCTTGCTGGCTCTCTTCAGCCAGAGCGCGCTTGTCCCCCTTGACCACGTTTAGCCTCATGTGTGAGGGTCCCGGCTCTGGAAGCCAGGCGCTCAGCCAGCACTCGGGAGTGCCATCCTGTGGACGAGCACGGGGATTGTGCTTGGCGATTAACCAAAAGGTTGGCATGCCACAGTCTGGTGGTGTGCTTTCATAGAGGGGAGAGCTCAACTCCATAACGTGGATGGTCCTGCTTGGGCAGAAGCCACTTGACCACAGTGGATTGGGATTTGGTTTTATTCTGGGGAAGCAAGGGACCACCCATCTTTCTCCGATGGAGCAGCTACTGGATTTGAACCACGTGTCTTTGTGTTGACAGCTCACCTTCTTAGCCTTAAGGCATCAGGGCTCCCTTTGGGGAAGGGAAGGAGCTGGGTTTGGGGACAGCCAGCAGGCTCCACCACGTTCCCTTCCCTTGGTGGTCAGCTTCACCTTCTGGTCTGTTGTCTTTATGTCCACAGTTGCCCAGAAGATCGTGGCCACGAGGAAGAAGCAGCAGCTCTCCATTGGGCCCTGCAAGTCCCTCCCCAACTCTCCCAGCCACTCCTCTGTGTGCTCTGCCCAGGTGTCCGCAGCACACATCAGCCAGGTACGGAGGGCAGTGGTCACAGAGGGCAGAGGCCATGGAGGGCGCGGTCACTGAGGGCGGAGATGTGGGGCACAGCCCCTTCTGAGAGGGATTGCCCTTTTCCTTTCTAACTTTGCAAGGAACAGCATGCTTGTAACTGACTGACCATTTCCTCCAGAAAATGGGCGGTTTGTGGCAGCATTCTTCCAAGGTTTCTTTCTTCATACTGCCCGGGCTGTGGTCCTCCCTACACGCAGTGCTCCGGGCCAGCCTGATGCTCACTGTTCATTAAAGGCCTGGCTGGGACTCTGTGTCTAGTCTCCTCTGGGATGGACAGCAAGTCGTGGGGGACCCTCCATGGTGAACCCTACTTTGCTTATATTGGGAAATAATCAGTGAAAACTGCCCTGTCCTCTATTCGCCCCTGTGGAGGTGACTCCTTAACGCCTTGCTGGGTGACTGACTTGGAAGCAAAGGGAAGAAATGTCACTTGGAAGACACCATGGCCAAGCCCGTTAAGGTGGCGGGTGGCCGTTCGGGTGGACATTGCTCAGGCAGCTGTGAGGAGGTTCCCCTCTTCCTTCCCCTCCCAGTTTTTTCTTAAGGATGCTGTGATGTTGGACAGTGTCCGTCATCTGTTCGGGACAGTGAGTAAGTGCACATTTTCATAAGATTACAGAGAGGAGAGGGAATGTCTTCGCCAAGATCCTCAGTCTTCCACGCACCTTGGAATGGTGTCCACAGACATCAGATTTCCAGGTTGTCACACTTACAGGCTGTTCCTGTTGGTCTGTGGGGATAAGTAGGGCTTTTTCTGCATCAGACTGAGACAGTTGAGGACTTCTAGGTCCTGGGTGTGTACCCAGCCCCTCTATTTTTTAAGAGGAAATGGAAAAATAAATCCATGCATACTTAAGAGATGTTGTGTAGTCCGTTTGAGACCGCCACAGTAACACATCATGACAGAGTTTTGCAGCAAAGCGAGTCACATGGTTCCTCACTGCATTTAAAATGTCTGTGTAGTCAGCTGAAGAAGCGCTGGTGGAGTGGATAATACTTCGGGCTGGTAACTGAAAGGTTGGCAGTTCAAAACCATAAAACCCTCTTTGGCTCCTTGACAAAAACAAGCATTCTCCTCCTCTGTGGCCAGAAACCCAATGGAAGGCGATTGTGAGTTTGAACCACTTCAATAGTTAAAGTTAGGAGCTCTGGTGGCCTAGTGGCAAGAAGCTGCGGTCCCGAAGGCACACAATTTGAGGCCCCCAGCTGCTCTGTGGAGAAGGCTGGGCAGTTTACTTCCATGTAGGTAACTGCATCCGAAAACCTGCCGAGGATCTGCAGTGGGTTGGTTCCAGCTCCACGGTGCACAACAGCAGTCTGCAGCATGCTGAGAAGGGTTGGCGTGCGGTACAGATGACGCCGATACTCGCGCTGGTCCAGGCTGTCCGTAACAGGCCTTCAGTTTGTACAAAACACAACAGCTACAGAGGGTAATTGAGGAGGTTGCTTTGTACGTTTTAGCTCTCAAATTTGTAATTGATAGGTTCCATTTTAAGTCCATGGCCATCTAAATTTTTGTATAAAGTGATACAATTGGGACTTTACAAAGAATGTTTTGTTGTTGTTGTTATTGAAAATATCCACAGTAGAATATACCTCAACCCTCAAATAGCACATATCTCAGCCACTTCCTGCAGGCCCAGCTCCGTGTGTGACTGCGCCCACTTCCTGCAGGCCCAGCTCCGTGTGTGTCTGCGCCCTTCAGCCAATCTCTTACTCCTTTTCTGAATTGTCCTACCTCCACTGATACGGATTTACCGCCCCTTAAACATTCTGACTGACCTTTCCAGTTGCTGTGGTCAGCTGGATCTTCAAGGATCACAACGTTCTAAGCACAGATTCTTACCTTGAACTCAGCTCATGGCCATCGACACAGAACCCACTCGTAGCCGACCCTCCGCTGGGTTTCTGAGGCTGTGAACCACACAGGAGGGGACTGGCATATTTCGCCTTCAGAACGGCTGGTGGGTTTGATCCACCTGAGAGGCATGGGTGCTTGTGAGCAGCTAAACTGCTGTGTGGGTTTAAGAAGCCTTTGGGAATGATGTTGGCTTACTGTATAAAGTTATCTTAACTTGTAGTTTGCAGAGTTTGTCTGCCCCCCCCCCCCCCGGGCTCTCTGCAAAGCGCTGAATCAGCTGCCTTTGCTGATCCACTTCCAGGTCAGGAATTACTCTGCTATGTAGCCTTCCTCATCCTCCTCTTCTGAGATTTTCCTCCCTGTTAATACAGTCCAATCATTCTAACCCTGTCTAATGGTCGGAGCTGCTATTGGTCCTTGAATCCTATCAGTTTATGTACCGCTGAGTCAGAACCAACTCAGAGCTGACCCTCTATAAAGTTCACAGGAAGAGATTGCACATCTTTCTTCCGTGGAGCAGCTGGTGGATTCAAAACACGTGCCTCTGGGTTCATAGCTCAACTCCTTACCAGTAAGCCACCAGAGCTCGCTGAACACCATGTGTTGCTGTTGTTGTTAAGTGCCATCAAGTCGTAGGCGACTCATAGAGACCCTATGAACAAAAGTCCTTGACACTTGTATGATTTTCATCCTTTCTCCAGGTTCATAGGGTTTCCGGAGACAAGCTATTTATGCAAGTGGATGCCACCCCTGCTTCCAAAAACACAATGTAGGTCTTTAAAGAGCATAGTGTGTAAGACAGATGGTTTTCACTGGCCAGGCTTCAGATGGAAGGACGCTTGGTGACAGGTGGTGTGCTCTGCACTGAGAGACCACCTGGGCCTCATGCTTCTGCGATGAACAGAGACGGCGGGGAGCTGTGCAGACGGCCAGGCAGCCGTTGCTGCCGTGTGACTGCTGTGAGTGAGGGCGCCACCAGGTGGTGGCCCTTGCTCCTGCTTGTGTCGCTGATGCCACGCCCTTCTTGGCCCTTACAGACCAGTAACGGAGGCGGGAGTTTGAGCGACTACTCCTCCTCGGTCCCGTCCACTCCGAGCACCAGCCAGAAGGAACTGCGCATCGACGTCCCTCCCACTGCCAACACGCCGACGCCCGTCCGCAAGCAGTCGAAGCGTCGCTCCAACCTGTTCACTGTAAGTGTCTCCTCCTTGCTGGCTGAGCGCCCCGCCAAGATGTGGGTGCCAGATGCCCAGTAGGCCCCTGGAGGGCTAGTATTTGCAGATGTCTGTGGGTCCAGGCACCCGGTGATGTTTGTAGACTACCACAGAGCTGGTGTCAGTGGGTGCCAGGTGCCCGGTGATGTTTATAGATCCCAGAGGGCTGGTGTCTGTGGGTGTCAGGTGCCTGGTGATGTTTATAGACCCCCACAGGGCTGGTGTCTGTGGGTGCCAGGTGCCCGGTGATGTTTGTAAATCCCAGAGGGCTGGTGTCTATGGGTGCCAGGTGCCCAGTGATGTTTGTAG